TCTATTCTGTGTTTAGAATAGAATAGAATAGAATATTAAAATAACTTTTTGGGAAACAAAAGAATCTGATAAACATACATGAAGACATTAATATTAATGATAGTCAGAGCACAAAAATCATGGCAATTTGTTTTACACTGCCTTCAGCAGTGAAATATATTAAAAAATATATTGCATTTTTGATAATCAACTGTACAGCTAACAGCTAGACTGCCATCTGCTGGTCACTGGTGGACGGACACTCACAAATGTCTTCATATCAGATAAGAGAAAAAACAGTCTGATTAAATTGAGATCATTTTTAAAGAAGATAATTTCACATTGGCAGTATTTAATTAATTAATTAATTATTAAAATATTAATTTAAAATGTTGTCTAGAGAGCTCAAAGGGTCAAATAGCTCAGGCTACGACTATGTTTGACAAAATACACACATAAGTGAAAGTTAAATGTGCACAAAGTATTTTTTCCAACTTAGTTTTTTTTCACTTAAGTTTTACTTTTGATTAATCTGTTTGAAATGTTAAAATATGTTTAGAATTATGATAAACAATTTGTACATCTCTGATTAGTTGTTTAGACAGCACGTTTCCACCATGGGATAATTTTTATTTTTTTTAAAGGTAATTTTGGCTTTATCTCAGAATTCAGACTTTTTCTCGCAGTTGTGAGAAGTAAAGTCAGAATTGTGAGATGAAAAGTCGCAATTACCTTTATTTTTTAATTCCATTGCGGGGGGGGGGGAAACAAAACAGAATTGTGGTGTAGACTTTTGGAGTTTATTTTGATGATGAGTTTATTTTTGTTTAGAATATTGGAAACTGATATGAGTTTTTCAACAAAGCGGAGCCCGTGAAATTACAAGGCTGACAAATATATTGTCTCCGAATTAAGAATTCTTTCCCTCGTTTTATAGATAAAACATGCCATATGTGTGCGTGTGTGTATATATACATAAATCTTATATATTGTTGATGTTGAATATTTCAGTATATCGTTTCATATTCAACAGATTTAACCAACAAAGACCAATAGACTTTGTATTTGGATGTCACTTCAAACCTCTATGACTTCTTCTTTGCGACACAGAAAGAGAACATTTGAAGATTATTTTCTGTTGATGTTTGAATATTCAGAGATGTGAATGAGATTCAGTGGAAAGACTGAGAGGGAATAACTTACATTTAATTTTGTTCCTCATGGAAGATTATCAAAGTCATATACATAATAGACTTATGTTTCTTTCATGGTGCTTTTTGTCCATTTAATATGTTTTTTTTGTCCTTGACAGGACCATTGTATAGAGGAGAACAGCAGTGTAAAATTCTTCAAAATGTATCACTTTATGTTTCAAAGAAGAAAGAAATGGATACAGGGCTTTGGAAGGACATGAGGGTGAGTAGATGATTGAATTTTATGAGAAAAATTATTTTGTTATTTATTATTTATTTATTCATTCATTTAGTCATTAATCATTTTGATGGTGAACTCGCATTGGTTTGGCATCACAGTGACTGCAGTCTTTAGTGCATAGTAATAAAAACTACAATAGTATATAATACTAAAATAACACTTATTCAGAGGGATATTCAGCTTGTTTTGGTGTTTTAGATGTACATTATAGTCCACTAGGCAAAAAATCAATAATTCCAATCATCTTTTGCTGATCATGGCTTTTAAAAGGTTAAAAACTCGATCTGTGACATTCATTTAACCTTTGAATCACATCAAGATTACAGTTTTTCCTAGCAGTTTTGCAAAAACACTATAACTTCAAGATTGAAATCTGCAAAGTTCAGAAAAAAAAGTTAAAAAACAGATTTTTTTTTTTTTTAGATTGCAATACGTTTTACAAGAAAATACAGATTCAGTCTTTCTACATCAAAATTTGAATTGCCATTTCTTTGTAATATAAATTTCTTAGTGAAAATTGCTTCAAAGGAAATCCAGATTTTTTTTTTTTCAGTGATGTGAAAATAACACGACTCTGATGTTGCTGCATTTGATGATGCACAACACTATGTGTGCAGCTCATATTTTCTTCCGAGACAATATTTTTATAGCTCAGATGATTTAATAGAGATCTCATTGATGTTTTATTTAGGTATCAGATTTCTCCTAACTGTCTTGGGAGTCAGTAGTATGTCAGTAAGACTACAGAGCTATACAATGAATGTGGAGAGCAGTTCAGATCATTTGATCTTCTCTAGAGGAGAAACTGATGAGATGAGATTACTGGAGCCTTTTTCTCATGAGAAAATTTCACCTAGCCTCCTTTTTTTTTTCTAACCTGTGGGTGGAAGTGTTCTTCACGCACTCACTCTTAGTTGTGGTGGTGACCGTCGTGAAGTTAGGGTACATTACGTGGATGTTAATAATAATGGTGCCGGACCGGACGGGACCTATGCCTATTTGGAAAACAAAGTGATTTGATGTTATGGGGTCCAGATATGGGGAACCAGTCAAAGTAACCTGTTTAAAACCCAAATGAAAGCTCCACTGAGGAGAAACAGTTTGCATATTAAAGCGATGCCATTGTTGATTTCTCTTTCCTCCAGATAAAGCATCTTAGCGTCGCTTGAATTCACCTGACGCTTCGAAGTCCTCAGTGAGTGGGTTCGGGTGGCTAAATTTGGGCCCTGGGTGGCTGCTTGGGCATTTGGTGGACTTCTTCAATATAAGTCAGTGGGATTTTTCACAATGAGCAACAGTATAGTGATACTTGCCTGTACACTAATTAAGGACAGAAAGGATGTTTTGGAAGAAGGGCCTTTGCATTTGTGTTGATAATTCTCAGAAGCCTTTTACTTTATAAAACGCAAGATGTGAGATATCATGTTATCATGATTAATTTTCTGATGAGCAGTAGAGTAAAAAGGAGAGTGTTGTGCAATATCAAGTAGTTTATGAGTAACTGGTTAAATCCATCTAAAATGGTCAAGGCTGGTTTTTGCACGCCACTCTTACAAATAAAGGTTCCAAAAGGGGCTTTTCACAGCGATGCCATAGAAGAACCATTTTTGATTCCCCAAAGAACGTTCCAGTGAACAATTCTTAAAAGAACCTTCTTTTCTTAGTGTGAAGAAGATTTTAATAATCTAAAGAACTAACCTTTTTAACTCTCTAAAAAGAACAATTTTGTGCAATGGAAAAGTAAAGTTCTTTTTTATTGGCATTGATGGTTCCACGAAGAACCGTTAACATCAATGGAACCTTTCCATTTCACAAAAGGTTCTTTATAGTAGAAAAATGTGCTTTAGATTAAGCAAAAATTTTTCTTTTAAGAAAGTTCACTGAAAGGGTCTTTGGAGAACCCAAAATGATTCTTCTATAGCACTGCTGCTGCAAAAAAAACAAAAAAACATTTTGCACTCCAAAAGGAGGTTTACATATTGGGTTAAGAAGCTTTAGTGTGAACAGTTATTTTCTTTTAAGAAAGTTCACTGAAAGGGTCTTTGGAGAACCCAAAATGATTCTTCTATAGCACTGCTGCTGCAAAAAAAAAAAAACATTTTGCACTCCAAAAGGAGGTTTACATATTGGGTTAAGAAGCTTTAGTGTGAACAGTTCTTAAAACAACCATTTCTACTTACTGTAAAGAATATTTGAACAAGCTGAAGAACCTATACAAAAAAACCTTTTGTGGAATGGAAAGGTTCCATGGATGGTAAAGGTTGTTCATGGAACCAATGCCAATAAAGAACCTTTATTTTTAAGAATGCATGGAAGTTAAATGTTGTTCATGGAAGCATAGATACCAATAAAGAACTTTTGTTCTTGGGAGCACTTGTCAGCTTGAGCAGCTTAAATCTTTTTTTTTTTTTTTTGATTTCCGGAATATTTTGAGAGGATATGTTGTGCAATCCTTACTTTAATGATAAGGCTCTCAAAAATTGTAA